AATGGTTGCTGATATTTGAGATTTATAGCCATCCTTAAATTAGATGTGTACAGTGTTTTGATGCATTCCAAATTGTCACTAGTTTGAACTACAAGTCTTTATTATCACTGGGTTAGTTGTTTCACAGTTTTTTTTTCCTTCCTACTCCATGGACTATTTAAAAATATCAGGAAAATTATTTGAAAAACATTTCATAGGTCAGACTTTTCAGTGTATTGGTTTTGCCAGACTTTTTATTTTAAATAACAGGTGACTCTCAAAGGGTAGGGGAGGAATAACAAAAGAAAATGTTGGTGATATAAAAACAAAAGATATCAATAAAATGTATTTTTGAAAGACAAACGTTATTTAATAGTAATAAAAATAATTGGCTGTAAGATTTTGTTTTGTGTTTGTTTTTGCCAGCCAACAAACCACTCTTTTGCTTTAAACCCATTTCTCAGATGATGTCAAGTAGGTTTAAGAGGTCTTCCATGGGAGCTAGGTATGTTTGTAAACCCAAATGGCAAGAATACAATTCTTCTCTTTTGAATGAACTATCTCAAGGATGAGAATGAGTTTCGGTCAGTACTTGAGTAAAGCCAGTGTTCCTATCCAAAACTTTTAAAATTATTTTTTTCATAAACTTTTGCCTTTTATACAAAAGGAACAATGAAACAGTTCCTCCCTTCATGGAACTTCTATTGGCAAATTTTAATCTTGATCCCCAGGATTAAGTGCCAATTGCCTTAGAATAATCCTTTCTCTTCCTCTTTCTGATCCCACCCCACCACCTAGAATTCAAAGGAATAGGGTTGCATATAATGGGTTCTCCCCCCGCCTTCCCTCCCTCTTCCCACCCAGACCCTACTTTAAGCCTTGATTTGGAATACGTTAGTGTCTATACCATTAAATTGACCAGTTCATCCTAAGGCTGCTTTTAGGAGCATTTGGAGAGAGGGAAAGGGAGATGTATATTGGACACTAGAATGTTTCTAAAAGCAAATATTAATATTTTCCTACCTTCAAAATTAAAGCATGTTAAGCTGACTTGGCTGCTTTGGCAGGTGGTGGTTTCCCCTTCAGTGGAGGTTTTCCTGAAAGCTTCAATGGCTATTTGATGATCATGTCATAGGGTAGTGGTGTCAGACTCAAATAGAAACATGTCCTTGGTGGCATGATGACTTAGAAAACCACAAATTTTATATACATATATGTTTGTGTGTATATATGTGTATATATATGTATACACATACATGTGTGTGTATATATATGTATACACATACATATGTGTGTATGTATATACACACATACATGTGTATGTTTGTATATATGTTTATAAAATTTTTATTTATTTTGTAAAACATTTCCCAATTATATTTTAATCTGATTCGGCCAGCACCTCAAGACTTGAGTCTTTCTAATTCCAAGCCTCAGTGTTCTCTGCATCCAGAGCCTCTGTTTTTCAGGGGAGTCTTTTGGAAATACAGGCTGAATCGCATGGCCACTGGGCTCTTCTAACTCAAAAAATCTATAAATTTGGAAGCATATTGAGAAGAGAAAATCAAGCTTAATGTTCTGGATGCAAAGGAGCATGTGTGTTCATTGGAAAGTGTTATAAAAATGTAAAACAGTACTTACTGGGGTGTTGCAAGGAGTTATAGTAGAACTATAGAAAAAAGACATCCTGAAAAGCAAACTGGTATTTGTAAATAGGATTGAGCCAGCTACTGGCTCCTGGGTCCTTTTACTGTTGGACCTTTCTCTCTGAAGGAGAGCAAAGCGAACAGAGCATTGAGGCCTGGCATTAGGAGGACCCGAGTTCAAATTCAACTTCAGATACTAGCTGTGTGATCCCCTGGGCAAGTCAATTAATTTCTGTTTGCCTCAACTTCCTCAACTGTAAAATGGGGATAACAATAGCACCCACTTCCCAGGGTTGTTGTTCCCAGATCATTGTAAAGTACTTAGCACAGTGTCTAGCACCTAGTAAGCACTTAATAAATGCTTGATTCTTTCCTTTCTCCCAACCTTTAAGAGCTATATTTATAGTGAATTTCCTTCTATAGCAGCAAACTGGTAAAAGCAGTGCCTTTAACAATAACTCTTTAAAAAGTAACTGAGAGTTTTGAGGGGGTAGGTACACATAACAAATACTCTCCAATCAAGGCTTGAAGTTCAGGGGTGGGGGGAAAGTACATATTCCCCCCAGTGAATATGTACCACTTCTCTAGATCCTGGGATAGTAAGAGTCCTAAGGGAAGATAAAGAGGGAGGAAATGGTAGTCGGAGGGCTTTTGTTTAGAGGAGTTGGAATTGTAATACTCAAGCAAGTAAATACTGAAGCAATTAGCTTTCTCTTCAACTAACTTTGTTTTTTAAAATAATGATTCAAAGTTTTTCAAAATTGATTCATTTTTAACATTTGTTTGAAAATGTTTTTGAGTTTCGAATTCTTCCCCTTCTTCCTGCCCCTCTCCTACCCATTGAGAAGACAGGCGATATGATATCAATTACACATGTAAAGTCATGCAGAATGTGTTTCCGTATTAGCCATGTCGCATAAAATAAAATAACATAAAAGCAGGAAATAGAAAGAAAATAAAACAAGTATATTTCAATCTGCAGCTCAGGCTCATCAGTTCTCTCCCTGCAGGTGGGTAGCATTTTTCATCATGAGTCCTGTGGAACTGTTGTGGATCATTGTCTTGATCAGAGTGGCTAAGTCTTTCACAGTTTCACAGTTCATTACAATATTGCTGTTACTGTGTACAAAGTTCTCCTGGTTTTGCTCACTTCATATTGCATCAGTTTATGTAAGTCTTCCCAGGTTTTTCTAAAAGCATCCTGCTCATCATTTCTTACACCACTTTTATTCCATCACAATTATATATTACAACTTGTTCAGCCACTCCCCAATTGATAGACACCCTCTCAATTTCCAATTCTTTGCCACCACCAAAAGAACTGCTATGAGTATTTTTGTACTTTTAGGTTCTTCTCCCTTTTCTTTGATCTCTTTGGAAATAGTGGTATTGCTGGGTCAAAGAGAATGCACAGTTTTACAGCCCTTAAGGCACAGTTTCAAATTGTTCTCCAGAATGGTTAGATCAGTTCACAACTCCACCAGTGGTGTGTTAGTGTTCTTCTACTTTTCCCAGGTACCCTCCAGCATTTATAATTTCCATTTTCTGTGATGTTAGCCAATCTGATAGGTGTGAGGTAGTACCTTAGTGTTATTTTAATTTGCATTTCTCTTATAGTGATTTAGAGCATTTTTTTCATGTGACTATTGATAATTTTGATTTCTTCTTCTGAAAACTGCCTATTCATATCTTCTGACCATTTACTAATTGGGCAACGGCTCTTATTTTTATAAATTTGGCTCAGTTCCTGATATGTTTGAGAAATGAAGCCTTTATCAAAGAAAGTTGCTGTAAAAAAAATTTCCCCCAGTTTCCTGCTTTCCTTCAAATTTTGGCTGCATTGGTTTTGTTTGTGCAAAACCTTTTTAATTTCATGTAATTGAAATTATCCATCCATTTTACTTTACATGATCTTCTCTATCTCTTGGTTGGTCATGAACTCTTCTCTTATGCATATATATGGCAGGTAAACTTTTCCATGCTCCCCTAATTTGCTTATGATATCACCCTTTGTGTTTAAATTATGTAACCCATTTTGACCTTATATTGGCATACCTTGTGAGATCTATACCTAGTTTCTGCCAAAAATCGCTCCCCAGTTTTCCCAGCAATTTTTGTCAAATGGTGAATGTTTCCCCCAAAGCTTGAATCTTTGGATTTATCAAACACTGGATTCCTATAGTCATTTACTACTATGTATTGTGTACCTAATCTATTCCACTGATCTAACACTTTATTTGTTAAGCAGTATCAGATTGTTTTGATGCTTACCACTTTGTAATATAGTTTGAAATCTGGTACTGCTAGGTTACCTTCCTTTACATTTTTTTATTGATTCCCTTGATATTCTTGACCTTTTGTTCCTCCAGTTGAATTTTGTCATTATTTCTTCTAGCTCTATAAAATAATTTTTTGGTAGTTTAATTGGTGTGGCACTGAATATATAAATTAATGTAGATAGAATTGTCATTTTTATTATATTGGCTCAGCCTACCCAGGAGCAATTAATATTCTACAATTCAATTAAATTTCTTAAAAGACCTGATAATAAATCTTGAGGTCTGGACATAGCTAAGAGAAATAAATAAACAAACAACTTTTAAAATGTTGCTGATCATTGCTTTGAGGTGAATGCAGTCAATTAACATTTGCAGACCAAAAAAAAAAAACCTTTAATATTAATAAGACACTACTTTTGAGTTAAATGCTCTAGCATCTAATAACTAGCAATCTAATTATTAGTAATCTAGTAATTTTAGATGCTCTGGCATCTAATAACTAGCTCTAGCAATAACTTTCAGTTATTGATTTGAAAACTGTGTGGATTTATGAATGTTCAATATGACTTCAATAAATTCAGCATATTCCCCTTCTATTTAATTATACCCCCATAAAGGTATAGATCACTCATTGTCTTCACTGCAGCAGCAGTTTCCAAAGAGGGAAACTATGTATGTAGTTAAAGCAAATCAGAACTACAAAAAAAGGTGTTTTAAAAAAGCCACTCTGGGATTTTTCTGGGTGTTGAAAAACTAAGGGCTCCTTAGCAGAGTTCTTCCTTAATATGGCTGAGACGGGATTGCTGGAGAAAGTTTACATTAAAGACCATGGCACTTCAGTATTCTTAGTATTTAAAAGTAAAGTGAAAAGATGCTAGAATTTAGAAACATTTTCTCATTGGCGGATGTGTAAGAGGTGGCACCTGCAAGGCCAGAAAAGGAGTGCCTTGCCATTTAGAGTAAGCCCCTGACAGTGATACAATGACCAATATAAATGTCAGAAGAGCAGACAGAAAGCAAAGGAAGCAACAAAGGCTCAGTCAGATTCAGCAGCTGTAAAAGCAAAAGAGAAAGCAGCCAGGACACAGACCTCAAGATGGACAAATTTAAGGCTGCTCTGCTCCTGGGAGGTGTGGGGGATGCTCTTGGGTACAGGAACATCAGCCGGGAAAACAGTGTTTTAGGCCCCAAGATCCAGGAGGAATTGAAAGAACTTGGAGGACTAGACAAACTCGTGCTTTCAGCAGAAAAATGGCCAGTCAGTGACAACACCTTCATGCACGTGGCAACAGCAGAGGCTCTCACCACAGGTAAAGTTGGAATTATCCAATGCAGGCTGGTAAGGAAAAAACGGGGAAAAAATAGCCAAGGTGATATTGGATTTCTTGAAATAAGCCTTGGGAACAGAGTACAGTTAAAAGCCGAAATTGCTTTTCATCTGGTGATGTTACCTGATGCCACTGCCCCACGACAAATTATATATGTGGTATATCGTATTTCTCATGCAATGTCTCCTTGGATAGTGTGAGTATTTTTTTCCTACTAGCCAGAAAGTCAAGGTTTGTTTGTTTGTTTGTTTTTTAAACAGTATTTTTCTTGCCTTTTTTTCCTTTTATAAAGTTAACCAAACCAATTCATATAAAAGGCAGAAAAATTGTCAGGGCTCCAACAAATATTTTTTTTTTTGCCTTCATTTTCCTCTGTAGAAAATAAGTTTTCTGGATATGAATTTATTTCAGAACAAGAAAAAATAAAGAAATTCAAAGAGTAGATCTATTTAGAACAAGTTACTTTGGGATAATTTCTCATCCAAAGGGATGTAGCATTACAAAATTCCCAATGGAGTAGGGGTATAAAATTTGCCATATCAAAAACATCTACTAAAAGGGATACCAAATTCGGTGATTGCTTGTTACTCAGCAAGAAAATGCCATTAAATGTCAGGTGGTTTTTTTACTTACTTGCCTTCTTAGGCTGAATTTTCAAAGTTCCTTCTGATCATGAACATATTGAAGGCTGCACCAAAGATTCTAGAATCGCAGGCTGTTTACACAAGTATATAGAGAAATAGGTATAAATGTGAAGTGCATTTCTTGAAAGGCATTTGTTTTTTTGTAAACAAATAATCAAATTTAATTCAATAATTAAAATTGGCACATTAATAATTAAAATTGGAACATCTTTACAAATTAAAATTTTTGAGCAAGTACTAAGTCAATGAAATCTCAATTAAGCAATTTACTTCATGGTTTTAGCTACCGCTGACACGCTAAATTTAGTCCTGATGGTCATTGTATGGGAATGCTGACACATAGTTCTGAGCTTATTCAATGATGAAATGAACATGATTCCTGGTTCTTGAATATTCACCTATATTTCACTTGTCTGTAGCTCTGCATAATGAAACAGTACGGTGGAACTATTAATAGAACTTTTAAAATAATGACCAAACAAATTCCTGGGGAGTACCTGAGGAAATGTTCCAAAATGTGGAAAGAAATTATGTTACTTTAAGCCAAATATATTTGGATATACTGTAATTTTGTATTTTGTTTGTACTGTTTGCCATAGAGTTGTACATGTGTCAGTGTCCTCATACATATTTATCATTATTGATAGTAATGCTTTCATTTTGTAAGTTCTCTTAGGGTGTAGAAAGCATGGCTATTTTAGCTCATTTTTCTGGTGACTGGACCACACCTAGATGCCTCTGGATACTTTTAGTTGGTGATAACATTCCACCTGAAGTTGGATAAGCTAAACTCCTCTTTGTAACAATATGCTTAATCGAAAAGGAAAGTAGAGAATTGCAAAAATTGCAGAAAATTTCTTAGCTGTTCTTTAAGAGTGAAGAATGTTTCCCAAATATGATACTGCCTTGTGATATGAATTTATTACTATTTACTATTCTTGTGATTATACCTTCCCCTTTAAGCCTATTTCATTTTATAGCTCTCTTCATTCACTGGTCCTATGGCTTTGAGTATTATAGGTCTGTAAGTTAAGATCTTCTCCTGTTGACTATGGAAGCTTCTTGAGGAAAGAAACTTTGTCTTATCTGTATTTTATATCTTCTTCCTCTTTCCTCAGTTCTCTGACACAGTGGCACTTAATGTTTGTTTTGTTTTTTAAATTTATTTTATTTTTAATTTATGGAATAAAACAAGCATTTCTATAACATAATATAATAAAAAAAGATTGCATATGAAACTGCAAATTTACTATGTACAATTTGCTATTTCTTTTATATATCCAACAAAGTTATAATATAAATTTCTTTTTTTTTCTTCCCTTCCCCCCACCCTAGAGATGGCCACCATTAGGCACAAATATATATATATATATGTATATGTATATATATACACACATATATGTACACACAAATACACATACACATATATTTGCATATATAATGTGTGTATATATGTAAAATTATTTTATAAATACGTCTATTTATCAGTTCTTTCTCTGGATGTGAATTGCTAATAGTTAATTTGGGTATTTATAATAGTCAAATAACTTATTTGCTCAAAGTCATTCTTAAAACAATATTGCTGTTACTGTATACAACATTCTCTTGTGATTTCTCATGGAGAAGTTGGTTTCCAAATAACCAATCTTCTTTATGAAATATGCTGTAGTTGTTAGAAAGCATTTTTACTCTGGTTACTTTACTCCATCCAAATGATTAGTTTCATCTGTTATGCACAAACTGATTTTTGAAACCTAATTCTTTGATGAAAAGTAAAAGTAGGATTAAAACTCTTGTCATTAGCCATTATACAAAGTGACAACATGGTATCTTGAAACAGAAGTTTTTCTTCCCTAAGTAAGCCATAATCTCATGGTAAACATAAGAGCAAAATTATTGGGTTTTCATGGGGAATCACTGGTTTGTTGTTTTTTTTTTTAACACATTTTAAGTTATATTCAGAAAATAAAATGAAGGGGGCTAGAAACTTCAGAGAATTTTATTTCTTGCCTTTGAAAAAATATTGTTTTATAATCTGAAGTTGTGAATTTTGAATTTTTATCCCTTGTTGCTGATTTCAGAGTAGCAATTTCCTTGATATATCTAGCAGTGTTACAAATGGCATCTCCTTAATTCCTGGACTGACACCCAAAGCATCTGTTCAACCCAGAAAATAGCTGAAGAACAACACTATTTTCTTTCCTGTCTTCTCTCTAACCCTTTCAATAGTGGAAGTGACTGAAGGTTGTCCAACACAGAACATTGTGCTGAGCAGTGGACGAAATAAAGTTTAGCAAGACCTACTAACCATTATCTTTCTTAACATGTGGTTCCATTTCCTTCCAATTCCATTCCCTGCTCACTAATTGGGGCAAAATGGATTTCATTCCAATCTCTCTGATTCTTATGGATGCTATAACTATGTTGTTGTTGTTCAGTTGTTTTTAATCATGTCTGACTGTGACTTTGGGGTTTTCTTGGCAAAGATACTGGAGCGGGTTGCCATTTCCTTCTCAAGCTCATTTGACAGATGAGGGAACTGATGCAAACAGGATTAAGTACCCAGGGTCACATAGCTAGTAAGTATCTGAGGCTGGATTTGAACTCAGGAATATGAGTCTTCCTGACTCCAGGCCAGGTGCTCTATCCACTGCACTACCTAGCTGCCCAATATAACCATATATGGTCTTCCAAATTCACATTCTACCAGAGGACTTGAGCTCTCTATCACTAGTGTTGATGAGGCTAACCCCAAAGTTCCAACAGAACTATCTTGTTCTTAAACCCTATAAGCTTTCAAATATTGGCAAGGGTGCATCATAGCTAATTGTACTGAGGAAATCACAGATTTTTCCTTGAAAACAGAGGTGCATACTCCTTGGATACACAGGACAAAAACAAACATTCGCTTTTTCAATACTTTGATAGGCCTATGTGAACTCATTGGTATGAGCCCTTTTTTCTATCTGCCTGCCTGTCCCATTTGATTTATGCCCATATGCTTACATTGAATGGTGAATCTCAATGTCTTCTAGTTATTCCTCATTCTAGATACATGACCAGCCCATCCTTATTTCCCTCAGTTATATATCTCTATGATGACATCTTTTATTCCGATGCTGTTTCTCAGTACTTCAGTGGTAATATGTTTTGGCCTGCTCACTCTCCCCATGCACTAATACGCTGTCCTTTGAGCGACCTTCAAATTAATTTTTTTTAAAGTTTTCTTTATTTTTTTGTTTCATTTTACATTTCAAACTGTCTCCCTCCCTCCCCACTCCTCACTAGAGAGAGTGACCTTCAATTTTAATTCTTTAATTTCAGAAAATATATTCCCTTCCCCTCTTTGAAGAGGTTGGGGGTAAGGTAGACTATGGAAAATTGCACATATTGTTAGATTCTGTTAAGTTGTTGAATGATTTTGATAAATTGCTTTTTCCTCATTTATTTTATTTGTTATGAGGGAATGTCTTGCTGGTTTGAGGAGGAGATATATTTGGAAGTAAAAGTGATATAAAAACAAAATAAATCTACACATTCTATGATATGGCTGCCAATCATTTATTAATTAGAGAAAAATTTAGCTCAAAACCAAATAAACCATTAACATATTTGCACAGGGAATTTCTACTATAATACAAAATCCTCCCAGCATCCATAACTGCCTCACCTCCAAGATTCTACCTCTTCCACAGCCTTACCCCCTAAAAACTTGTTCTTCACCCTCTCTGTGACCTTGAGTCCTTATTTTCCTAATTTCTCAGCCATTCTAACTTTGGCTTCTCCTTACTTTAATTGACCCTTAAGGTGAACCATTGCAATAATACTCCTTCACCCTTTCATCCCTTTCTCCCTCCATTAAGCTCCCTCCATCACTGAACATTACTACTTCCATCATTGAACAGGCTACCATCTGCCTCATCCAATCCTTCTCCTAAATGGCCAAACGTTGATGGAGAAAATTGTGAAACTACACTGACTGGATCCCTTACAGATTTATAGCTTGCACTGGGTCCTCATTGCTGCACATTAAAGCAAAAGGATTAGCTTTAGAGGCAGGATTGGATCCCTTTGCTGCTTACTAGTTGATTTTAGATTAGTCACTTGCCCTCTCCAAAACTCATTTTCTTCAAATGTAAAAGGGGAATGATAATAAGACCTCTACTACCTCCATCTCAGGATTCTTGAGAATAAAGCACTTCATAAATTTTAAAGTAAGGCTTCTGGGGGCACCATAGTGCATAGAGTGCCAGGCCTGGAGTCAGGAAGACTCATCTTTCTGAGTTCAAATCTGGCCTCAGACACTTATTAGCCATGTGCTGCTGGGTAAGTCACTTA